TTTATTTATATCTCTGCCCAAGAATGATATTTTTAAAAGCAGAAAATATTAAATCTATATTAAATATATTTTCAAAATGTATATGAAAACCGACGAAAATAGTTTTTACTGCCGTCACACCTTATATTTTAATCGCAATTTGTACACATACATGTATATATTACTCTTCACTCTCAACATGTCTATACATATCATGTATATATATAAATATATATATATATACACACACAATGACATGGCAAGTATACATAAAGTATAGTACTCGCAATTACAACTACCTACCTACGCAGCATAATTTAGACGCGTTAATGTCACGAATTCATCATATAAATACTAATTTGTTACACGTTGCTTAACTAAAATAGTGAAATTACTCGTCATATTTAAAGAACTCTTGTGTAACCATATAATATAAATTTAGTCAATAGTCATATATTTACCGAAGGAACGGAGTAAAATCGTAATGGTGGTGTTCGTAGCGTCGCTATCTATAAATATACTCCTATTATATTATATGTATTTTATTGACATAAAATATTGACAGGTGCTTTTAGAAAATAATAAAAAAAAGAATAGCGAACAATTTGTAGAGTCAATATCTTTTCAAGAGAATGCATTTTATTTGTACCTAAACAATATTTAACGTAGACTTGTGCAACTATATAAAAGCACACGTCATACACATTGTGCTGGTCGGTGCTTGAGCACTCCCAACATAGACTTCGTTGTATAATTTATCTCACTGGTGCAGAATCTGCAGTATACCTCCATTGGAACGATAAGGCTGAACAGAGCAAAGTGCGACGACTTGCACACTGCGATATTGTTAATTATTGTCATGTTGGGAAATATAACTATTGTAATATTTAGAATAACAAATTTTTGAGACTAGAGAGCATAAACCGAGTTTTGATGAAAAATATTTTATACATAAATGTGTATAGATATATATTATATAAAATTTTAAGAAACTATGAAAAATTATAATTATATAAAACTATATAATATGTATATAATTAGACATTAAGAGATATCATGCAGTGTATCTTTTATAACATATTCAAAAGAAGTTTTCTTAAAAAATATATTTGGTATTGACTTTCAAAGACAGTTGTTACTTGTTATAATATGCTTAAATAATTTTTAATGTAAATAATTAAAAATAAATTATCAAGTATTACTTTCTTAAAAGAAAAATAGTTACTGTATTAATTTTAAATAAAATAAATAATTATTAAATTATAATTTATTGTTTTATCTCTCAAGATTTTATAACTAAGGAATAAAGGTTTTTAAAACTATATGAACATAAATAATATACATAAAAATGCGAGTAAAAACTAGTTCACGTTAATTAATCATATTAATAAATAAGAGTAGATGAAAATATAATTAAAAAGAACATAGTTAATATAAATGTTAATTTTTACATAATAATAACGTTAGTAATAATTAATTATAATTCATTATAGTTGTACTCGTATCTTACAACACTAATCACTATAAACATCATATATCTATATATTATTATATATATAATATAAGTTATTTATTATATAATTTTGTTGCAATTTATGATCATGCAAAGTTCTATTGTAAAAATTAAATGTGTTTTGTCGATCGTTTATTAAGTCATATTTAAAGAGCACCTGAGCTAGAGTTATGATATAAATATTAACGGCAAGTAGACTGTTTTAAATCTAAATAAAGACATTGGTCATAATTAAAATTTTTTTATCAATGACAAATAAATGTAGGTAGTTAAATTATTTTCACAAGACATATGTAAATATGTAACTTGTTTAATAGTATATTATTTTTGAAAACTATATTTGCAACGTTGTAATGAACAAATAAAAATATCAGTTACTTTGATTTGATTTGAATTATTAGAATAATATTGAAATAAGTCAAATTTTTTTTTTTAAAGAATCAAATATTATAATATTTACAATTGTATACAAATTTATGTACCTATCACCTATCACTATACAAATTATAATTTTTGAAATTATCTAGAATTATTTTTATTCATTACTGCCTAATTTTAAACCTAATGGACACAGCAATAATAATAATAAACACAACACTAAAACCATTGGTGATATCATATATGATATAAGTATATGTACTATATATTATAGTGTGAAATATTTTGACTGAATTTTTATAGCACACTTATACTTAAGATAGGTTTAAAAACACCTATTAAAAAATATATTTTTGTCATTCAAATATAATTAACGATTTTACTTTTATATACGCAAAATACAAATGGATTTCAAACAACCATAGGCAATCTATGACTTATTTTAAACAATAAGTATATACTTAATATAGCTTTAATCGATATTTATCCTTCAAAAGACATCATTAACAAAATTACTTTTCTCATTACCATTTTACAATCTCACTAAATACCTATTTTTATTGTTATAAACTGCGTTTTACTTGATTTTTCTAATTTATTAATATTTATACTTAAATTTTACATTGACGTATTAATAATTTAATAAACAGGCTTATGGCAAAACAAAACATGTTTTACTTTATTCTTTTATTACAATCGATTTATTTAATCTAACTAGGTATATACTCTTGGTCGAGCATAAAGTATATATATACCTAACGAGAGAATTTTATTTCAACGTTTTTAACTAATTATTAATTATTAGTTGTTGTTTGGACCAGATCCAGTGGCACTGACCAAAGAGAGTAGATGATATCGTGGCGATCAATGGTAAACTACAGCGCATAGTATACATTATAGATATAAGTTATAGATATTTGGACATAAGTACATGAATCTAAGGTGTGGTTAGTGAACAGTTTCCTCCACAAATTAATCATGTGCTGTAAATTATAATATATATTATTGTAACCTACTTAGTTATTGTTTTAAAAATAACAAATTGTAAATATCTTTTACTAAAAAAGAAAAAAAATTACATGAAATTTGTTCTGTATTTTAGTGTAATAAATTCACTATTCACTAGTACCTCCTATCTCAGATTTCATTTTTATGCAATACTATTTAAAACTGACATCGGCACCACAGACTAAATTAATGATCAATCTATATATTATTCAAACATAAATTGCTCGAACATAGAAACATTTAAATATTTGTTTGACACTATTATCCAAATTTGATTCTAAGTTAACTATAAATAAATATAATGGGTTGAAAGCATTTGATAAATAATGATTAGTAACATTTGTGTTTGCACGAGCAACAACTTAAGACTGTTTAACTATTTTTTATTTCTAAATAATTTAATATATAATCTATATTCTTATTCACTACGGATTTAAAATATTGTTAAATTATATAGGTAAGAATTCAAATAGTGTAAACATTTTTGCAATTATACAATATACTTTTATATAATTTTATATTTGTAGAAATAACTTTATTTTAATTGTTTTCCAACATAATATACAAAAACTGAGAACAATAAACTACCTAAAATTATTTACAAATAAATAAATATCTTTTAGTTCCTTACATTGGAAATTACAACGATCTTTATACATTTTGTGTACGTTAAATTTTGTACTTATGAATAACATTTTAACTTTTTTTTACTGATCTTAAAAAATAAAACATGTATGTTCTACAACATAATTGTTGATAACTATCTTCATACCTATAGTAGGTAATGGTAAAATGTATTAATAACGTGTCATTTTTGGCAAAACAGAAAACTTTGTATCACAAGGTTATTTGAGTTCGATATCTATTAAATTTGGTGATAATTTTGTTAAAATAACGTATGATTCGTAAACAAACAATATATATTTAAATATTTTACTATAATAATATATATATATACATTTTTATCTAGTATAGATATAGACTAAACGTGTGTCCTTACAGTCATCAGATGTAAATTATGTGGATACACATGACAATTTTTTTAAGACCTCAACAATTAAACAGCATACAAATATAATTATTAAGCACACAATATATACCCATATAAACAAATTTATTGAAACGACGAATATCTAGAATGATTAAGTATACAATATGTTACCACAAACTACAATGCAAGAATGACTACACGCAAATAATAACCTTGTGCTGAACATTATAATGTTATACTTATATAAATAAATTATAATAATTACTAAATAACCATATGATTTAAGAATTTATATGAGAATTTAATTTTTACCTGTTAAAAATTTAATAGTTTGTATAGAAATACTTTTCAAAATAAAAATCTTAAATTTAATATATATATGTAACATTTTAAACAAAAAAAACTCTTCTTTTTTTCGTAATAGGAAATCTTACAATACATTAATATAGTAAATATGATATACATCTGGACGTGCTTTTATTTTTTTATTAAAATTATAAAATGAGCACAAGGCCTAATGATTTTTCCTAGAAAAACATATAATAAATCATAATAATATGTAAAATTAAAATAATAATTCAATGATGTTTAGCTGATAAAACTAAAAGAACAATAGAATACCTTTTAGTAACACAAGAGCGAGGCGAGAGTTATATGTTAATAATATAAAATTTAAAAAAATCCATTTTTATAATATAATCTGAGAAAAACAAAAATTATAGTTTCAATACTTTTTCTGTTTCATCAGATCAATTACATCGATTATTTGAGTTAATACAACAAAATATTTTCCAAGATATTTCAAATATAAAGATTATTTATTGAAGATATTATTTTATGACATTACATATATTTTGTAACACATTTATCTAATAAATACATCCTAAACACATACTTCAAACGAAAATAATATCGTAAGATTGTTGAAACATTAGTAAATTGTATTTAACAAATAAATGCTAATCAAAGTCAAATCTAAAAATAAACAAATTTTATTTATAATCGAAAATTTTAAATAAAATGTATAAATCAATTCTTAACTGTATGAATATATAATATACATAAGCCTATACCGTTAAAATGCATAAAAATATGTATGATATAATTATAAGTCTTTGGTATTGTTCTTACCTGTCCGTTTATATCACTAGTTTTCATACTTATTTCACGTTCAATTAAAAAATAATTACTCAGAATTTAATAACTACTAGTAATGTTGGTCAGAAATCATTTTTCTCCAATTATTTTGTTGCACACCATAAATACAAATGAACATTACATACTAATTAAATTCTTTATTTAAACTATCAAGATTTAAAGAGATTAAAAAAATTAAAACATATTACTTAGGCCAAACAGAATAACAAGCATGCCATAAGAAAAAATACGAGATCCTGATCGAGCCGGTCTCTCTTCACTGACATGATGACTGTCGCTAGCTCACCATGTGTTCTACTCGATCTAATAAGAGGGGAACATAACCAGTACCTAACGGACTTTGTGGAGGAATAAAATTCGAAGAGGGGATTATATACGTCTGTAAGCACGTTATATTTTGAATCACCTTCGAGAATGAATAACAATAACAAAATGGAACTTGAAACATCATCTTCAACCATCAAAAAACTTTACAAATTGAAAAAAAAATTAACAATACTTATTCGCTACTTGCATTGCTAATATAATGTTTATGTATTAGAAGTAAGAACATAGAAAATTATTAGTGGATTTATAAAATTTTAAGATTCTATCACAATTTAGATTATACATAAATTTACTCGTCTTACTTATATATGCTGATTGTGCTCGTCTGACTGACCGATCGATACATTGCGTTATTACCAATACCAATATTTACTATTTATTTATTTTTAAAAATTATCACTGACGGTAAAAATTTAAATTAATTTAAAAAAACGAAATGTATAATAATTGTATTTGAATAAGATTTGATATAAATGCATGTTATCTAATATAAAAACCAAGTATTTAATAAAAGTGAACATATAAGTATGCTTTTGTATACGTATTATAAATATATCCAATATATACCTAGTCAATGAGTAAGTAATTGTAATAAATATGTATTATTAACTTAGTAATGTATCCATTGTTTAAGAAAAACGATTCTGAAAGGAAAGGAGACATGGGTTAACAAATACTTTATACTTCACGTTAGTAATATACCATTTTGTAAAGAAATAACTGAAGAAAAGATTCTAAGTTTACAAATAATATTTTAAAATAACTTTAAAATCGTTCTTTTTCTTTTGTTTAAATATCTAACTTTGTCTGAAAAAAATGTATTTTCGAAATTTTTAATGGTAGTGAGTCAAAGGAATATAATATAAATAACTTAAAATTAGTCTAAATATATTGAATAGGTATTTAATTTAATAAAAAATCAATACTTTAAGTAGTAGTATGTTTCAAATTTCTACTTATAATATTTTTTGAAAAACTACGAAATAATTAAAAAAATCATAATTTTAAAATACCTAAGTTAAAATATAAAATTTTATTTTAATTTGAACTTCAAATGCTCACAAAATAAAATATGGATTTGCAATTTTTTTTTTTTAATTCTAGTAAAAAAACTTAACCCGCATTTGTTTTCTGCGTTTTACGACTTACGAGTGCGTAACAAAGCAAATCTATGTTCAGCAGTTACCATTAAGTGTTATAATAGTCAATTCACTTTAATATTTAAGCCAATGAACCAATGCTATGTTACGCATTTCAGCACTTGTAAGAATAAGACGAAGACAACAAATACAGGTGTAACGTTCTCTTATTATAGACATTAATAAAAAATAAAAAATAAAAATTACAAATATTTATACCTAAATAGCTTAAAATAAAAATCAATATTTATTAATAATTATATCATGGTTGAAAATGCTTGAATATGAAAATTCAAGCATTAACTGTTATTTGTTTTCTAAGTTTTAAATTATTATAGTAAAATTAATTTTGTCAAAAATTAATGGTAAGAGTAATAATAAAGTTTCAATATTTAACTTTTAGGGTGATTTGTGTAAGCAAATTTTATCTAATTGGTACCTTAAGGGAGAGTCAAAAGTAGAAAATTCTCAGCACTTTTCAAAATTATACTTTTTTAGTTTTTATTTGAGAATAAAACGGCTTGAAAATTTAATACGAAATCCCTCAGAATTTGATAAAATACATAGTTACAGTATTTTTTTATAAACGTCTGAATTTCAAGTTTTGACCAAGTTCATAAAAGTTACTAAAATTTCATTATTTTTTTTAATTTTTATACTTGAGTTTGAAGATTGGATCCAAAGTTTCACATACTTTTTCATTACAAAAATTGTATTTATTAACCACATTAATTTTTTACTAGATTTTGTATTTCAAATTTTGACGTAAATCTTTAAACCCTTAATTTAGTTTTTTGAACCGTTTTTTATTATAAACAATTATTTATTATTAAATTTAAATTACCATTTACCACATCCATTACACTCATTACAATGAATTAAATTCAATGATGAGATACACTCCACCAATTTAAATAGCAGTAACTTCCTTGGTTCTTTTCGATTTATGTTGAAACGATTATTTATAAGTTATTCTTACAAAATTCTAAAAATATCAAAAATACATATGCACAATTTCTTTCATAACCATGTTCAAATGTTGAAAATGTTGAATATTTTAATTTAAACGAAAATAAGTTATTTCTCTCTAACAATTTTAATTGTCTCGTAATTCAAAAACATAAATTTTAGGATCATGAAGTGTTTTACCATTATGTACATATTAAATTTTCTAAACACAATTTTCATCATTTTTAGACTATTTTTAAATTATTTATATCATAAAACTATACAAACTGTTTTACAATATACAGTACATCTGTATTGACCTATAAATTATAACTTGACAACAATAATATTACATTATAATATAATTCACATTATCTGTATAATATAAATAGGTTTGCAATGTTTTAAAAAAAAAATAAAATAATGTACACCATTACTACTATTACTAATAACATTGATTATAAATAATCAATGGTAATAGGAAAATTATTAATGATAATTAACAAAGGAGTGTTCATCTCCTCTCAGAATTGTTTTTTTCTAATTGATGATTTAACGTTGAATTCTAATTAACAATCCCTTATAGTGACCTACTTAATGGCAAGGAACACTTTTATTATTGACAATATTATTGAGCTGTAAACTGACCTTCTAAAGTTTTTTCGATTTATGTAAAAAAAATTTTAATTTGATAATTATCTTTACTTAACACAATAATTTAATGAAACACATTTTCTGAATTATACTAATAATTATTTATTTTATTTTTAAAATAAATTGTAGCAAATATTTTAAAAGAAATTTAAAAAGCTGTTGAATAAAATATATTATATTATTTCAAAAACTTCAAAAATATATTTTTAATTATTTAAATTTCAATATTCTTATTTAAATAGTTTAATATTTTGACTTAAAAATTGTTCTTTATTAATGTTGTAAAATGAGTAAGAAAAAAATCATTCACAAAGAAAATATGAAATCCAGTTGTAATACTTTTCTTTTTATAATAGAGAATTTTAAAAGTGCGTAGTATATTTTTTTATCAGTCATAACAAACCATATAGTTGATTAGCTGAACGATAAAAATATGATAATATTATTTTTATTAGTAATTGCATTAACTGTGCACTATACATTCTATATTCAATTCACTAAATATTAAATCTAAAAAAAAATATCTTAATCAAAGTAAAAATTATAAAAACGAATCTTTATAGTTATAAATATTAAACGTAATTGGTATTTAATAACTGTTTTGTAAAACATAAATCAATAAATAAATCAAAACTTAAATTTTTTAAAATATATTTAGGAATATAAGGAATAACAATTTTGGATCCTTGAAAATGCAGTTTCTACTACACATTTAATAACTAAAACAAAAAAAAAATTAATGATTATTAAACTCTTCAATAATTATCTATTCTTTTGAAATAATAAGAAATAACACTATATCACACTATCAAAAAAACAAATTGATTGTTGTACAAAGAGTGAAGCTATACATATTTAATTAGATTTAAAAACTTTTTTTGAAATCAAAGTAAGTATTTTAAAAATGTTGACATTTTTATAAATAGTTTTGAAATGGCAATAAGTATTACTATCTAGTCTATATTTTGAATCCTCTATACGTATGTTAGTGTAAGATTAATCAAGGAACAATTAGATGACACTCAGAAGTAATTTATATCATCCAAAAATTATGACTGAAATTATTACTTTTTAAACTCAAGAGTTATATTTTAAATCAAAAATAAAACCATTCACATGGTTGGATAAATTAAAAAAAAAAATTAATGAAAGTAAATAGTTATACAACTATTCACATTACATACTTCATTAGCTGGCATTAAAATAATATTTTCATAGTATTATCTAACTCATAAAAATCAAAAACCAAGGTAAGTTTAGAAAAATCCTCTATATAAGTCTTTGTATTTTAAAGTCTAAATAAAATTTGTTAGGATAAAAAATAATCATTATTATTTATAATTAATCATTATTCATTAGTTGTTGATATTTATTTTTTTTTTACTCATATTTCAATATTTTATAAATATATTATAGTTTTAAAATATGAAACCAAAATTGTTCAGACTTATAAATTCTCTAACGATAAGAAATATTTACTAAATACAATAAAGGTTTTAATAAATTAAAAATAATTATATCTATAATATTTTTATTGCTTAATTTATTTAAATTATAATATTATTATGATCTATAAGCTATAATATAAGTATTATTACTATTTTATATTTTAAGAACAAAGATGTGATACTATTTTACACTATAAACTTAATAATTGTTATTAAATATGTATAACTATAATTAGTTGATTATTATTAAATTATTTAAAAGAATAAAAAAAAAATGAATTATTACAAATAATTTAAATTGTATACACTAATATTACTAGTTTTTATTTAAAGTTGTCTGTAATTTAAAATAAAATATATCTATACTTTTAAATTAATTATAATTTGTAACTTTGTTCTTAATTTTAGCTTTATATATTTTATCTTTATTTATAAGACTATTTGTATTTTCATCGATTATTCAAAAAAGTATCAATTAGTAACTACCAAAATCATAATCTACTTATAGAAATATAAACTATAGAGTATCTTGAAAATTAAAATTTAGTATACTGGATACTTAATTAATCATTAAACAATAAAAAATTCTAATCAAAACTTGAAGTATATAGTAATATCTACATTAAAAAAAAGATATTTTTTTAAGTGTATTAATTAACTATTATTTTACATTGTTTAAATAATTAGTTTTAACTTAATTTTTCAAACCTATTAATGTCACATAATTGTGAAAACGTTTGAATTGA